CAATTAAGCACACCATGTAATCCTTACACTATGGTCGCGGAGGAGGAGGTGACAAATCTCTCACCCCTCACTCGTCTCACCATCAATTAAAGTCACTGGATAGATAAAGTACCGCAATGGTCCGCCATTTTTATTCCAACCACACGCGGTTCTTTCAAAACGTCTATATGTATATGAATACATTGTGTAAATAAGGAAAAACAATAAATGTTTGTTACTTTTTTTATTAGTATAACACCTAACATTTGTTACAGATAATTTCATGGCAACGCTACGACTATTGTTGGCATTTGCCTCGTTAAGATGGTTTTTTTTTAAAGAAAAGTGAATTCGTGCTGTAACAAAAGTTTTAATCAATTTAGTCATTATATTATGGCACGACGGAATCGATAATGTTGGATTATTGCTTAAAAATGCATCAACAAATTCGGTAACTGGTAATAAATTTGACAGTATTTTTGTCTCGTTTTTTCGAAATGATAACTCGCACTTATACATAATATTAAATACATCAGTGGTTGGAAAAAGTAAAACGTTATTCTTATACTGTCGTAATGTTGTGTAATAGCTTAGGTTATTATTAGCATCGTGACAATCTGCAAGAAGAACGTTGAAACATTTATCGCAATGTTTGAAATTTTTTTTATTTTACATAATAAGGCACCTATTAAGTGGTATAGAGAGTTTTGCGTTACATCATTAAGGCTATCTTCGTTTCCAATTAATGGCGAATATAATGGTTCATCCCATAATTCCTCATCAATATTATCGTCATTGAAGATCTTTTTTAACCTCGCATCTTTTTCTCGCAATTTTCTTTTCATAATTTTGTTTCGCTGCACCATCTTCTTCAACGTTTTCCTCAACTTAGTAACATATTTTTCATCATATGTTTTACAGTTTGATGCAGTGATTCTTGCCGTGTTTGTGCAATGCTGTGATTCTTTCACATTGCTTGCTGTGGTATATGCCGTTATCTCCACATCTTTATCTATAAATATTCGTTTAAATAAAAGTAAATCACATTATAGTATATATGTACGATCATTTACATATGGATATTATTGTATTGTGTAAACTTACAAGATTCTATATTTTCCACTTCATTCGAATGTATTGTAGCTTCTGGTAGATCGAGCTGCTCGGCATTTTCTGGTTTTGTAGCTTCTGGTAAATCTAGCTGCTCGGCATTTTCTGGTTTTGTAGCTTCTGGTAAATCTAGCTGCTCGGCATTCTCTAGTGTGTTTTTCCAAAAGGTTTGGTTTTGCATTTTGGCGAAGCAATTTCCTTCCATCTGTTCGTTGGCTTTCGAACTGTTCGCTATCAAAATGCACCTGTAACATTTATGTAATATTTATAAATACAAGATATTGTTTTCCACGCAATTATAATTTATTAATCATACCTCACAAACATAAGCCTTTTTAGGCAATGTGTCTCGTCCAATTAGTCGTATCCATTCGTCACGTCGTGCTTTATTTCTTTCGCCTGTTGGTGTACAAAATACTCTAAAGCCTTTTTCAGTACGATTATTGCATCCGTTGACGCAGCAACCTGTCATTTTTCTCACGATGTGCTCTTTTTCAATGCACGCTGCACCTGCCCAATCAACAAAATGATGTTTAAAAAATATTTTTTTAAATGTTTGAAAAACATTTTTTGAAACATTAAAAAAAACATTTAAATAATGGGATAAGTCCCCTTTTTCTCATGTAAAAAATATTTATTTTACATTTAAAAAAATATTTTTTT